ATCTTGGTCTTCATACCTAAGATTAAGTAAACCTTAATGACCTACTCAATTCATTGTGGATAACTTCAATTACCAGTACTTCATAACCTTTCGCGACTAAATGCGAATGCAGCTCTTAATCAAGTTTTATAAGTAGTTTGGAATCTACTCAATACGAATAAAGTTTTTATAAGTTTCGCTTCTGAAAAATGGCATAAACAAGTTCAAACCAAGCGCAGGCCTTCCTATATATTTTGACAACCTTTCTAAGCTTTATTAGGGGGACTTTCATTTCGCATAAAATGCATGGACTACGTCAACATGTACATCGTATAAAAACCAAATGACTGCAGTACGAGATTCATCCGTCCTCATCTGGTGAAATCGACCAACGAATATCTTCTTCATGCACCTTCATACGAAATGAAAGTCCCCCAACAATGTTACCTCAGGAGATTCATCGAAACCCAGTTTCTCTTTGTATCTACTTTCTAAGCTTTAAGCAAAATTACAGGGGCTTTGCTCAGGGCTTCATTTCTAGTTGGAATGAAAGAAGAAGGTCTGGAATTCTATCATTGCTTATAATAATTTGAAACATATTATGTTATATAAATTTTATAAAATGGTGTATGGTTATGTAGAAGTTGCATTACATGTCTTACAAAATTACTTGATAGGTAAAAGTATTGGCAGGGTTACTTCTATCAAGTCATATTACACTTAACATTTCTTTGTCGCAAGTGCCAATGCTAGTAGGCCCACGAGATACAGTTCCCAACATAGCAAAAGTTTAATAATTAAGGGAAGGTAGGTTACAAGAAACCGCCATAAGATGTCTCCGCATCCAATCGCAACGTAGCTGTTGTCAGGATTCGCATTAGACAGACATGCAGTTGAGCCTGAATCATAACAGCAAGTCTTATTTTCAATTGTTGTCCAATTTGAATAGTCAATTGTTTTGTTGGAAACGGTCAAATTATATAAAGCACAGCAGTTATAGAATTGATGCAACACGAGCAAAATTGGTGGTTTAATGCTCTCATTTAAAGGAGACGAGTAATAATCTAGGCTCTGAGAATTGTTAAAAAGTTGCATAACAAACAATTCGACTTTGTCATGCAACCATTTTACTTCATTTTTTAGCACAAATATCAGTATTCCACAAAGAACAATCTGGATGGTGATTAAAATGATGTAGATCGAGAGAATACAGTTGATTCTGCAACATCCGGCCACCATACCGAGCACGGCAGTCACCAACATGAACAGGCCAACTAAGATCAACCAGACGCTGATGGTGGAATCCATTGACTCCGCAAGACTATCGACGTCCACTTGCAATAGGATCTCATTCCCCATGAGCATGCTCAAAATTTTACTAGGTTTTTGACTCAAAAGGGAGCCGATTGTGCAGAGTAGAAGACCTACTGCTGCTAGCGCTAAATTGGCGAGGGCGAGCAGAATGCCGAAACACATTTTGACACACATGGTGATTGGTAGGGATTTGTTAAAATATTATGAAGGGACGTAGCAAAATAGAACAAGTCGCTCCTAAACTTATAGAGTATCCAGTGCCCACTTGATTCCGCAAATAGACACTAATATATAATATAAGCGATAATGACTAAGCTCATCACGAGAGTTGATAAACTTATGGAGGCGTATCTTGGATTTCAGTATCTGATTCTGAGCCTCAACTTCCTGAACTTCGCAATTAGCTGCGCATAAGCCAGCTAGCAATGAGTTATTTACAATAGATCTCTTGATTAGTACAACAGGCTAAAGACATGTTTTTTTAATAAGGTGTAAATTCTGCCCAGTTACATGCTTCCAACACATTGGTGACACCGGATATATCACGAAAAGCAGTTTTCGGACAAATAATTTAATCTAACTATAAAGATTAGTTGCGTTTTGATGCAGCTTTTAAGATAACATTGTTGCATAGTATTTCATTTTGCAGGAAAATTCATGAGGAAGAGATTCGTTGGCTGATCTCACTTGAAGAAGACAGCCTAATGCAGTTGTTCTGTAGCCGTTTGGTTTCAATAACTGAATGGTTAGTTTAACGTAGATATGAAGACCGATATGTTGTGGCTTCTATGTTGGTCACAGGATCCTGTTAATCTATAGAAGTGGTCTGACATCGTTTATGCAACTTTGTCGGGCTGCCAGAGTGACCTAGCCCTCTGTTATAATAATTAGGATAAATCTCAGCGATCGACCGCGGGCTTGATAAATTCTCAGAGGTTTCGCCGCCTTCATCAGTTAATCTTGCCATTTTCAGCACTAAGTCACAACTTTTCAGACGAGTGGATGTCAATCATTCTTATTTCGGCTAACGATAGGTCTTTGACTCAAGCATCTTCTTTTTGCTGCTTTTTCCCTATCTTTGCTTTCTACTTGTTTGCTTAAGAAAGATGCAAAGTTATTGTTAACTCAGCCTTCATCAACCTCTTGTTTATTATATTTCCTTTCTCAAGGATGTCGCTGGCTTGCCTAATCTTTCGTTTCCTTGTGTTTTCACCGTATGAGGCCATTCTTTCTGCTGCCTTATTAATCTCATGTCCAGTCTGTGATCATTGAGTATCCAGGATCATCAAGAAAATGGTTGCTAAAAGATCAGAGATAGCCTAAACCTTTGCACAGACTGGACATGCAATTATTTAGAACGCAACAGAAAGAAAGGCCTCATACGATGGAAACACAAGGAAACGAAAGATTGTGCAAGCCAGAGACATCCTTGATAATATAAATTTAATAAACAAGAGATTAAAGTTGTTGGATCTTGTTTTCGCAACTCGGTTATTTTGGTAGGAAGACTTAGAGGAACGCACCTTGTCCGGAGTCCATTGTATGTATAATCATTTCCAAAGTCGGACCGTGGAC